GGGAGAGGGGGGGGACAGCATGTGGAGTATCAGTATGCAGGGTCATCTGGGGTGTCAGGAGGAGTGTTAGTGGTGATGTGGGACACTAGAGTTTTTGATATGGAGAAGGTTAGTGAAGGGTTTTTTTCCCTATCACTTTCGTTTAGAAATATTGGGGATAGCTTCCATTGGATGTTTATAAGAGTTTATGGGCCTAATGCAGATGAGAGTAGAGGTAGATTGTGGGATGAATTGGATGGGATGATGAATCGGTGGAACCTCCCAACGTGTATTGGAGGATATTTTAATGTTGTATGATTTCCTACTGAAAGGTCCAGGGGGAGAGTAACATGGGCTATGGAGGACTTTTTAGATTTTATCAGGGAGAACTCGTTGGTGGACTTGCCTTTGATTAGGGGAGAATTTATTTGGTCATCGAGACCAACCTGTCCTATCCCGAATTGATCGGTTTTTGGTATGTGGGGACGTGGGAGGCTAAGTACCCAAAGGTCACGCAGAGGAGATTGGAGAAGTTGCATTCAGACCATTTCCCCATTTCGTTATCTGGGACTGCAAGGCGAATGGAAGAAGGCCTTCCAGGTTCGAAAGGATGTGGTTAAAAGTTGAAGGTTTTGGGGAACGAATACGGAATTGGTGGGCATCCTATGACTTTACGGGGTCTCCTAGTTATGTGTTAGATCGGAAATTGAACGCCATGAAAAAAGACCTTAAGAGGTGGAATGAGGAGGCGGTGGGAGATGTTAGCTATCGCAAAAATCAATGCCTATCAGATATAAAAGAGTTGGATAGGAGGGAGGAAAGTCGAGGACTGGTAGGGGATGATAGGGCAAGACGTGGAGAATTAAGTGAAGAGTTGGAGAGGTTGGTGGAGACGGACGAGATTGCTTGGCGTCAGAAATCTAAGGTCAAGTGGTTGAAAGAGAAGGACAAATGTACCCAATTTTTTCATAAGGTAACTAATTCCAACAAGCGCAGCAATTCTATCACTATGTTGAAGGTAGATGGGTCACTTACGAGAACCCACAGGATATCGAGACTCATATGGTAAGCTTTTATCATACTATGTATCGTGAGCAGTTGGACTGGAGGCCAGAATTGGATGGGCTAGACTTTTCTATTATCAATGAGGAGGACGCTAATTGATTAGAGAGACCATTTGGGAATGATGAAATTAGGGAGGTGGTGTTTAGCATGAATGACGACAAGGCACCGGGACCCGATGGATTATCTCTTTCTATAAGCCTTGTTGGGAAGTGATGCGATCAAACATTGTGGATGTTCTTATTTATTTCAGTGTGGAAGATTCTTAAGAAACACTAATGCTACATTTATTGTGCTAATTCCTAAGAAATCGAGAGCACCGGATATCAAGTGGGGCGTACAAGATTATTGCGAAGATTTTAGCGAATTGATTAAAGGAGGTGTTGGGTAAAGAGGTGTCTAAATTTCAGAATGCTTTTGTCAAAGAGCGCCAGATTTTGAATTTCGTACTTATAGCAAATGAATTCATTGATTCAAGAATGCGACTAAGGGTTCCAGGAATGTTATGTAAGCTCGACATTCAGAAGGCTTATGACCACGTTAATTGGGATTTTGTTTTGTATATGCTCAGGCGATGTGGCTTTAGGAAAAAGTGGTGTCAGTGGATTCAATCTTGTATCTCTACGATTTCTTTCTCAGTCATGGTGAATGGCACTCCGAAGGGTTATTTTCATAGTAGTAGAAGAATGAGGCAAGGAGATCTTCTGTCCCCATTGTTGTTTGTCATTGTTATGGAAGCATTCAGTAAGATGCTTGAGAAGACCGTGGGGAAAAGTTTGTTAAGGGGCCTTGTTGTTGAGCAGTTGCAGGTTTCTCATTTGCTATTGCAGATACACTGATTTACTGTGATGCAGATGTTGAGCAATTCAGGAACTTGCATCGCTTACTCCTGTACTTTTAAGCCGTATCTGGAGGTTGACATCTTTATACGAGATACATTTCAAGGCAGGAGAGAGTGATTGTAGCAGGTGGAGGTTGACACGTAATGGTATTTTCTCAGTTCGCACTTATTTTAGATCCTTATTGGGACTTGTAGAGAGTTCATTCCCCCTGAAGATGGTTTGGAAATGTAAACTGCCCCCACGAATGGCATTTTTCCAGAGGACAGGTGTTCACAGTGGATAACCTTCGTACAAGGGGTTTCTATGTTATGGAGTGGTGCTATATGTGTTAAGAGAGATGGGGAGACGATTGACCACTTGTTCCTTCATTGTCATGCTGCTCGTTTATTGTGGAACGATATTTTAGCATCGCAACACCCAATCACACATGGATTGGGTGTTGCCGAGGCGTATGGAGGACATGTTAAAGGCATGGAGAAGAAAGTTTCGAGATAAGGATAGCAAACTTGTATGGGACCTTATTCCGGGTTGCATCGTCTGGTGGGTGTGGAGAGAAAGAAACAGTCGATGTTTTAAAGACCAATCACGGACAACAGAGCAGATTAGGGAATTGTTTTATTTGACATTGTATACTTAGTTTAATGTTGCGGCTATTAGGCATATAGACGGGCTGCCTAATTTCATGTTGTTACTTTCTGATTTAAATTGATAATACACTTCTTGTGTATTATGCATTGATTAATAAAATATTGATTACCTTTCAAAAAAAAGATGTGTGTGAATAAGAATATTCACATACACAAGCAGAGGCAGTTCTCATTGATTTTATCCACTTAACAAAAAAACAAAAAATTCAAAAACTTGTCATGCAAATAATACTTTTTGGGTCAGAGGAAAAACGAAAAAAAAGGGAACCATGCAGGTGCTGCCACATGTAATTCCCCTGTAAGTAACTCAATGCTATCATTCATTGGGCTAGTAAGAGTATTATAAAAATTTAGCATGAACAAGCAGAAGCCGCAACAATAAAATAGTATCAAAGAAAAGCGATTCCACAAGAGGTTGCCCCAGTTACAAAGCAGACGACGGTAAGGATACAAGCAAAGAGTCGCCCTGGGATCATTTGTATGCGCCATACCGCGCAGGCTAATTCCTTAATAAAGCAGACGGCAAAAGCGATGCTTGAGTTCCATATGAAACTGTTATGGAGCATAACAAAACAAGATCAAAAAGAATGCGAGGCATTCTAAGTAAGATGTCCAATTTCTCACCAGCCAGATTGAGAAGTCTTTCATATTTCTATAATTATGATTACTTCAGCTCGACCATAGTCCTTTAAAGAATGAATGGGAAGCAGGCCAGGTATATATTTCAATAGTTATGTTTACTTCAGCGCGACCATAGTCCTTAAATCGTTCATATAAAAACAATTTCTTATTCTAGATCCGTATGGTGTGGCACTCATATTTTATCCTGTGTCTCCGAGGTTGTACATCCCTCTAACATGTTACAAAACACTCTCATTATCATCTCCAACTAAAATTTTGATAAAGATTAAATAGCTAATAATTCGATTACTTACACGTTGAAATTATACGTAATAATGCATAATTGCTGCCATTCAACCACAAATGACTATCATTCTCTAAAAAAATTCACAGATACGACTCTATGCATGCATGTATGTCTCTTTCAACCTCCATACCGTACATTACAGTCAGGCATATTGTACCTTAGTCTAACATCTTACAAGACATTATGCAATTATAATTAGGAAACTATCACTATAAAAATGAAAAAAACAAATAATTTCATTACATGGGCATATTTAAATTCATGTTTATGTGCAATTGTTGGCATTCAACCACAAATTTCAGGTGTTGCCTAAAGCACAATTCAGAAAGATAATGACTAAATGTATATGTGTCATGTCTCATTCAACTATAAAGTCAGGCATTTTGTACCCTGTATCTTAGAGGTGATACCTCCCTTTGCCACCTTACAAGACACATTATTTTCGAACCTATCACTGTAAAATGAAACAAATAATAATTCGATTACAAGCCCGTATCGAAATTCATGTGTATGCAAGCATTCAGCCACAAGTTCCAAATGCTGACTAAACCACGATTCACGAAGATAAAGACTATATGTATATGTGTATATATATGTCTGATTCAGCTATACAGTCAGGAAATATTATACCGTGTCTTCGAAGTTGTACCACTCCCTACCATCATAGTAGACACTATGCCATTACCATTTCAAATCTATCACTGTAAAATGAAACAACTAATAATTCGATCACACGTGCATATTGTCGGCATTCGACCACAATTTTCGATTGTTGTCTAAACCACAATTCACAAAATATAAAATATAATTTTTTTGACTAAGTTATATGCGTAAGACCTGGCAAGGACGGAGAGGCGAGAGGCCCAAGGGGCGGGGGTGCCAGTTGCGGGTCGATTTGTGATCGGACTGTCGTGGAGTGGCCTTCGATTCTCTGCCACTGCCACCGGCGAATCATAATTTGTTACAGAGACATTTTTACGAGAACTGAATCCAGATTTCCTTGAAGCCGGAGAGAACATTTCTCTGAATTGCTCTTGCTCTACCTGTGTGTGAGTGGGTTCAACTTGCTCTACCTGTGTGTGAGTGGGTTCAAGGGTTTAGGTAAATT